GATTGGTCCAACCCAGGGCACAGAGCACATGTTGGCTCCAGCCCCTGCCTGGCCAGGCAGCTGTGGTTACAGCAATGACAGCAGCAGCTCCTGCTCCAACCTGGTCCTGGGACTGCCTTTATGGGGTGACAGTGGCTCTGATTCCAACCCCAACCGTGGGTTGGGGCCATAGCTAGAGCTGACTTTATTATTATTATTATTATTATTATCCAAGATGATGGGCTCTCCCCATGTTTAATGGTGAAGGGGTGGAGAAAAAAATGTTGCCCTAGATACTGTTTATTCAGATCCACGCTACTACCAAAAGATTTGAAGTGATGAAAAGTGTGATTCCCTTATGTCAGAATCACCTGAAAACCCATTCAGAATTGCAAAGCATCACTTCCTGGGGTGCAAACTACTACTAAAACTGGGCTGTCCAACTCGTAAGCCACACAACCCTTCAGGAGACTTAACATTTGAGTCCCCAGGCTCCCATCCCAGTCTGGGTGCTGCTTCTCTCACTGTTGTCTCTGGGCTTCCCCCTCCCTTCTCTGGTTCCCACTGCCTGTCCTTTACCCCTTGGGGTTGGGGCCAAGGGAGCCTGCATTTGGGTGGTTCAAGATGACCCATGGACCATGCAGGGGTGTGGCACAGTATAGTGGGAGCAGTGCCATTTGTACGTGTTGGGAGTGTGTGGCATGCAGACACATTGTTACAATACAGTGGGGGAGGAGGGTGCCATCTGCAGCATTTTGAGGGTGCTTGTGGTGGAGTGTGGCATAGAGCTGTGACCGCCCCAGCCTTTCTAAAGGAGATTCCTGATCTAAAATATCAGTGCCTCTAGCTAAAGGACCTCATGGAGTTACTCAGCTGACTAAGCAAATAGTTCTTTCTTGAGTCGGGACTTTAATGGGCTAATTAAACCTTTCGAGTCACAGCTTCAAATCCTGTTGGTCTGCTTATCTAGCTCAGAAGGTGTTGGGACTAAATTTGAGTACCATGTGAGTTTTAAGGATGAGACTAAGGTACAGTCCTGTGTGCTTTTATAGGTTGTTTTGATATTCACATACACTATTTTTAATGCTTAGAGGTTTGCTTTCACTTCCTTGGCCAAAGCTTCCCGCTCACTGTGCGGTGCTGAGCTACTGTCTGCAGCTGCATTTTAGCGGTATTGTGCAACATAGTTTAATTGGTCCAGCATCATCCACTGTGAAAACTATTATAAAGGAATCCAGTTTTCATTACCCAAATCTGTTCTGGCCAATTCAAATCCTTATCTTTCAAATTCCCCTTGCAACTTGGGTTTGGAAGTAGTCTTCCCATCTTGCACCAGTGCATAAATGCCTATTGCGTTTCAGTTGCAGACAGGTCTGTCTTATGGACTGTCTGTAAGGTGTTTTGTTATAAAGGTGTTATAGAAACCAAGCAGCTGTTATGTTAATTAGAGAAACAGATCACATATGGGAACTTCATTGAATGCTGGTGATATTTTTTTTGTGTGCATTTAAATTGGCGTCCCTCCTTTTCTCATATCGTAGGTAACTGTCTGGGAGAAGAAGGCTGTGAGCAGCTTCAGGAGATCCTTGAAGGTTTCAACATGGCAGATGTGCTGGGATCCTTGAGGTAGGACACAAGGAAAGCTTATGGTAGAGGTCTGCTTGCAATTAAATAGCAGAGCTCTTATTCTTACACCTTCCTTGCAAGTTCTTTAGAAATTAGCCTCTCCCAGTACTGTCAGAGGTCTTTCTTGGACTGTTCTCTCCTGTGCTTGCTACATGAGCAGGAACTCTGCAGCTGCCATCCGTGTACTCCACAACTTCCATAGATTTCATAGACATTAGGACTGGAAGGTACCTCAGAAAATCGAGTCCAGCCTTCTGCCCCAGGGGCAGGAAGTCAGCTCGGGTCATAGGATCCCAGCAAGATAAACATCCAAATTTCTCTTGAAGGCGTTCAAAGGAGGTGCTTGAACCACCTCCAGTGGCAGGCTGTTCCAGACCTTGTGGGAGCTCAGACAGTAAAGAAGTTCTTCCTTATGTCCAGCCTGAAACTATCATGGAGGAGTTTATAACCGTTTGACCTTGTCATCCCTTGGGGCGTTCTGGTGATCAAACGTTCCCCCAGATCCTGGTGGTTACCCTGATAAACTTATAGGTGGCCATCAGATCGCCCCTGAGCCTGTGCTTTTCCAGGCTGAAGAGCCCCATAGTGCTCAGCCTCCCGTCATAAGGCCTGTTTTCCTGACCTCTGATCATGCGCGTAGCTCTTCTCTGGACTCTCTCAAGCTTCTCCACATCCTTTTTGAATTGCGGAGCCCAAAACTGGGCTCAGTACTCCAGCTGCAGCCTCACCAAGGCTGAATACAGTGGGAGAATGACATCCTGGGATTTGCTCGAGGAAGCATCTATGGATGCAAGCCAGCATTCTGCTCACTTTACTAGTAGCATCATCACATTGCAGGCTCATGTTCATCTTGTGGTCAGTTATGACCCCCAAGTCCCTTTCATCTGTAGCGCTAGCCAGCATAGCACTGCCAAGCCTATAAGCATGCTGCAGGTTTTTCCTCCCAAGGTGGAGAACCTTGCATTTTTCGGTGTTAAACACCATCAGGTTCTCATCTGCCCATTTCCTGAGCCTGTCAAGGTCATCTTGGATCGCCTTCCTGTCCTCAGGTGTGGATACTTTACCCCAGAGTTTGGAATCATCGGTGACCTTGATCAGTCCACTTCTGATACCAATGTCTACATCGTTTAGGAAGATGTTGAACAAAATAGGTCCAAGGATAGAGCCTTGAGGGATCCTACTAGTCACAGGACACCATGACAATTGACTTTTGTCAACCACCACCCTCTGGGTCCGACCACAGAGCCAATTTCCCAGCTAGCGGATCGTGGTGGACCTAAGGCCGTAGTTAGCCAGTTTTGCCAAATGGTGATCATGGGATACCAGATCAAAGGCTTTTTTTAAGTCAAGATACTCAACATCAATCTCTTCCCCCTTGTCCAGGTGATAAGTCACCTGGTCACAAAAGGAAATAAGATTGGTCAAGCAAGACCTACCCACAACAAACCCATGCTGGTTATCCCTTGAGATGTTGCCATAGGCCAGTCAGTTAAGAATGGCCTCTTTGATAATCTTTTCCAAGACCTTCCCCAGGATAGAGGTCAGGCTGATGGGCCTGTAGTTTGCTGGATCCACTTTCCTCCCTTTCTTGAAGATAGGCACCACATTGGCCTTCTTCCAGTCTTCGAGCACTTCACCAGAGCACCAGGAGTTTTCAAAGATCTGTGTCGGGGGCTGAACTATGATGCTTGCCAGCTCCTTGATTACCCAGGAGTGTAAGCTATCGGGGCTGGCTGACTTGAAGGTGTCCAGCCTCTCAAGGTGTTCCTTCACAAGGTCAGCAGTGATGGAGGGCAAGGAATCTCCCTCACCTGGGCCTCCCTGGCCCATAATGGGCAGGGCGTCCCATGGGACTGATGAAAGACTGATGCAAAGTACCCATTTAGTAGGTTGGCTCTTTCCTGGGTGTCGGTCGTCAGTTGTCCCATCTGGTTTAGCTGGGGTCCAATGTTGCCCTTGCTTTTCCTCTGGTTCTCCACATATCTAAAAACAAACTTTTTATTATCCTTGATACTAGTGGCCAGTTGGAGTTTCATCACAGCCTTGGCTTTCCTGCTTCACTCCCTGCAGGTCCGGACCAGTGCAGAATATTCCTTCTTGGTGGTGGATCCTGTCCTCCATCCTTTGTAGGTCTTTCTTTTAAGATGCAGGAGGTCCGCTAGTTCCTTGCTGAGCCAAGGTGGTTGCTGTGCCCTTTTGCTGCCTTTCCTCCAAGACGGAATAGCCTTAGCTTGTGCATCTAGGATTGCTCCCTTGAGGAGCAGCCACCCTTCCTGAACTCCCCTCTCCTTGGGATCATGGTCTCTTAGGGCCTCACCAACAAGCCTTCTGAGTTTGTCAAAGTCAGCTTTCCTGAAGTTGAGGACTTCTGTATTCCTGACTGACTTGCCAGCTTTACAGCAGATGGTGAAGGTGGTCGCTGTGTCCCCAGCTTCCCTTCGATTGTTAGGTCGCTGATTAGGTTGTCCCCAGCTGCCAATACCAGGTCAAGCAGTGCTTTATCTCTTGTCGGCCCGTAGACTTCTTGCATCAGATACAGGTCATCGACGCATGAGAGGAAGCTTTGCGACCACTCAGATTTGGTCGAGCACTCTTCCCACAAGATGCCTGGGTAGCTGAAGTTTCCCATGACAGCCATGGACCGGGAGCATGCAGCCTCAGCCAATTCCTTGGCGATCTCCTGGTCAAGCCCTTGACTTTGGGTGGGAGGTCTGCAATAGACTCTCACCATTGTCCCCTGTGTCGTGTTCCCCACAGATTTTAACCCAGAGGGTCTCCAGTTGTCCACCCTGGGCACCGATGTTGGCTTGCAGGGATGCATAGCTTTCCCTGATAGAGAGAGCTACACCCCTGCCCGTTTTGTCCACTCAATCTCTCCTGTACAGGGTTTAGCCATCTATACCTGTGGCCCAGTCATGTATGCAGTCCCACCAGGTCTCCGTTACCCTTGTGACGTTGTAATTATTTGTGTTGAGCAGGAGCACAAGTTCCTTCTTTTTATTCCCCAAGCTTTATCTGAAGGTAATGCTGTAAGATTTAGATGAAAATAGTTTGGCCCGTTCAGCTCATACACCTTCTGCCCACAAATGGTGCCTTTTCCTAACAAACCTAAGGTGAGGCACTGACTCTTTTTTCAGCTGCTTACAAAGGACTATTGGATGGAACAACCCCCTCACTACAGGTCTGAGGCCAACTGGAAGAGATGACCTAAGCTTGCCAGGCTGTCTTACCTAGGGTTTTCCCAAACATGTCCTCTTTTTTGACCCCTGTGCTGCATCTGGGCAGGTTTTTAAAATAAGAAGAAATGTCTGGGTTTGGCTAGTCCGGGCTGGAAGCAGCAGGCAAGCTGATTGGCTGTTGGGGGTCACATGCTCCCCACACAGGCTCCCGTGAAAGAGAGTGTGTGCGCGTGCATGTAACAGAGCAGGCGCGTGTGCAATGCAGGAGCTGCTTGGTTTGGGCAGCAGCTCGGGGGGCGGAGTGAGGGGCACCAGCAAGGGGTGGGGGGCAGGGTAGTACTGTTTGGGAGTGAGGGGCTTAAGCAGGGCTGGGGGTGAGCTGTGGCTCAGCAGTGAGGGCATGTCACTGTCGTGTTATCGTCATCTGTCCGTCCGTCCCCCTGGTGACAGGTGTCCTCTTTCTTGGACCTGGAAACACGGTAACCCTAACTTGCCCACTGCAGGCCATGAAGTGTCAGTCCCAGAACAGAAGTGACTTGTTCCTGCTAAGGCTTGGGAACACCCTTAGCTATTTTCTAATTGCCTTTAAAAATAGTTCTGTGTTCCAGGAGGTCTCTTTTATAGAGACCTCATCTTCATGTAAGCTCTTATCTTAATCCATAGTGATGATGAAGGGGACGACGACGAGGAGGAGGAGGAAGATGAGGAGGAGGAGGAAGATGAGGAGGAGGAGGAAGATGAGGAAGAGGAAGAAGATGAGGAGGAAGAGGAGGAGCAGCAGCAACAGTTGCAGGAGAGAGGGCAGGGAGAGCAAGAATTGCTGCCTTCTAAAAAGATCCTTGATTCACATGTAAACTAACTTTCATTTCCTCGCATAGGGGAAGGGAGGAGACAAGGTTCAGAATGGGGAGGATGTTTGGAATCTGAGAATGTGGGTGGAGTCCTTATGCCTTTAAGGACCTAGTTGCTCTCTGTTCTCAAGTTTGTGGGGTGTAAAATATGGAAGGGTAGAAAATTGTTAATCAGAAGGAAAAAAAATAGCAGGAAAACAGTGTCCTGGAACTGCCTAATCATAGTATTTGCTGCACAAGTTTCCCACATAATTCAGACAGTGCTGCCACCCATCTCCATTATTTTCTGGTTGTGTAGGTTTGTGTTGTTTTTTTTTTTGATCCTAGTATTCAAGCTCTGACCTGTAACACTCTTGCCTGTTCTAGCGACATCCTTCCCTACAAAGTCATGTAGCTGGATGTTATTTCTCAGAATGAACTGAGATCTGATCCTCTGTTTCAGGGCTCTCCAGTGTCTTCTCCAATAGATGTTGCCACATTCCTTGCTTTCCCATCTCCAGAGAAACTGGTGCGACTAGGGCCCAAGTGTTCTGTTTTGATAGCTCAGCAGGTAAGTAGGCCAGTGTCTTCAATGTGGCTGGTATCATAGGTGTTGGCTGTTCTGCTTAATCCTGGCAAGTGGTCTCTTCCATAAGCTTTACAATCCAGATTTAAGTCCTCCTGTTGTCCAAATGGACACGGTGGAAAAATACTCTACTTAAAGTGGCACCTCTGGAGAAGCTATAGTGCCAGCAGAGCAGCTCCACCTTTTGGCATGGTGTATGCATCATGATACAGCTGAAACTCCCTTGGTGTCCAGTCATTTGGAGGCTGCTGTTGCAATGTTCATTGCTTATGAAGCAACAGCACCTGTAATGGACTCAATGGCTTCTGATTTTCATCTCTTTCAGACGGATGCAACTGATACAGAGAAGGTGACTACAGCTTTCCTTAAGATCTCTTCTGTGTTTAAGGATGAAGCCCCAGTGAAAACAGCTGTGCATGAGACAACAGGTAACTCAATCTGTCTCCATCTCATGGGGGGGAGGGTTACTGTGGAGCCCAACTAGTAGCTGCAGCTTCTAAATTGCTCTAGTTTCCCTTTAAGTTGTTTTGTCATCTTCCCATTGTTCATCCTCCTGTTTTTCTAAGTTTATTCTGTCCACTTAATGTAACTTTCTCTGAGCCTTTGTTGGGAAGGGCTTGAGTTTTATAAATCAAATAAATGGCACAACAGTAGCCATCCTGGGCTGCCATTTTATGGCAGCCCTGTCCCAATGATAGCCAGTGCTAGATATTTGAAAGAAAGACTGACATCCTGTTTCGAGAAGTGTAAAGGTGCAAAACCTCTGCCTGACCTCAGCTTATTCCTTAAAGTATGAGGAGCAAAATCTATTTTAGCTCTCCTTTTTAATTGGTGTTTCTCCATTTGACTCTTTTGATGCATTCCCTTTTGAAGTTTCTCCTAACAGCCAGTGGCAATGAATTCCATAGTTGAGTTGCACCTCATATACAAGGAGATTATAATTTTAAAATGGATTAGATAACAAGTATCCCTTCCACTTTTGAGGCATCTGATGTTCCTTATACTAGTAACTTTGATATCTCTCATCTTCCTTAACAAATGGAATTGGAAAACTTCCCCCAAAAAGCATGGGACAGTGTGCAGAAAGGTATGCATGGGGACACTGTTCTTTGCAGGCCATAGAGGAGCACTGGCCCAGTATACCTCATCCACACATTTCTTTTGGCATAGTTTGTAGACTGTATGAATCAATTGACTGAGGTTTCCATGGAATTCTTGGGCTCCACAGGGATGCAGAGGTGCTTCTGCTCTTGGGCTGGGGAGGAAAATTATCTGGGTTTTTTTCATCCCTAAAAATCCACCAGCAGTATTCATTCCTATGCAAAAGGTACAGAAGGTTACCCTTTGATGTAGCATCTCTTTAAACTCTTGTTACTAATGCACAATTAACAATGGACTCCTAGCTTACAAGTGTGGTATCTTGTGTGTACTTCAAATGTCTCTAGTTGCTGAAGCCACTTTGCCTCAGTGGCATAACCAAAATTGCCAACTAGCCTTGTTCTGGAATAAACAGGAGATCCATACATGATTCTGAGCTCTTTCTTGGCTTTTGTGGGAACTGAAATCTAAAGTGAAACCAGTAGAAAATGTCCTGGTTGTCCAGAGATGCTTCATACCTATTCCCTTATCCATAGCTTCTCCTTAGAAGCTGAGATGGTGACTGGTTGATATGATAGTTTCTTGAGGATGAGACTTCTCTGTCTTATTAACTGTTTCCCTCCAAGGATACCTGACATTGGCCCCACAGCTGTCCTACTTCAAACAAACAAACAACAAAAAACCCCAAAATGTAAAGATCACTGCCAAAAGTGACTAGTTCTTTGTTCTAAAGACCATAAACCTATTCCCTGAAAATACCATCCATTGACAGACTTGATTTCAGTCCAGTGGAAGTCCATTTCTTGTATTTTTGAGGGCAAGCAAGGCTAATTCCTTCCCTCACTGAGTTTTGTACCCTCCAAGCTCATCAAGTTAAGGTTCTTGCCCTATCTATGGCTTCAGTCATGGACTTTCTGTAGGTCTCATGAAGCCTCAGTCCTGAGGACTAGAATCCATGTAACTTAGCGCTCTCTCCAGTCTGTTTTCAACTCTGAGAACCTGCATGGAGACCACTTGCAAGAGTAGAGACTTATTTGTATATATCTATTAAGGTAGTGGTCTCCAACCCTTTTAAGGTGAAGATCACTTTTTGAAGTAAAGGGCAACACAAGATCTACCACTTCCTCCCCCCCCCCAACTTTTACAGGTCAGTCTGGGGGTGAGGTGCAGATTGAGGCCTTCACGGTGAGGGATGTAGTGGGGCGCTGGCCAGGCCAGGGGAGGGGCAGAGCCTGGGCAGCTCATTTGGGAGGGGAGGAGGCGGCTCTAGCTGCTGCACACATCCTGGCAAAAGTCTGGGGGCGTAAGCAGAGGAAGAAAAAATTATTTGGGGCTGAGCCCCTCAAATGAGGTGCAGGACTAAGCCATGAATGTCTTATCAGGGGGGATGCCTGGTGCATGGAGGGGAGGGTGGCTCCCACCACTGCATGCACCCCAGGAGGGCATGGGGGGGGGTGTACCCCCAGATCTGCTTTGGGGGAGACGGGCTATGGGCTGCGGCCAGGGGTAAGCTGGGTTCTTCCCAGTGTGGGTGTGCTGGGCCAGGCTGCGCTTGGGGTGGGTGGCAGTGGCACTGGGGGCGGGCGTTGTTGGGTGGACTACAGCAAATTTTATGGTGACTGCAGCCTGTCTGCCAGAAAGAGCCTGGCTTAGCCCCAGCCCCAGCCCACAGCTGGAGCCTGCCTGCCTCTCCCCGTGCAGATCTGGGGGCACATGGACCCCCATGCCCTCCTGGGGTGCACGTAGTGGCAGGAGTCGCCCCCCCATCCCTGTACCAGACACCCCCAGACAAACTACTTGGAGCTCTGTCTTGTACTCCAGCCCACTCCCACTCCCTCCACACCCCTGCCACAGCTACCGGAAGCCCATGGCTGGGTTGCCTTGTGGCCCTACTGCTGCCCTGTGTTTGGGAGGGCTAAGCCCCATTAGCCCCCATTCTGTCACCTATGCCCAGGGGCATGTGCCCCCCCCCCCCCC